AGGTTATGTGTGTGTGAGGATGGAAAGCAGTGGATGGAAGACGATTGTACGCGTTAAGAAAAAGTTGCCGACAGACTTGCCTCGGTAACCTCAATTGCTTCTATATCCTCACGTGCGTAACACGATTATGTTATGGGTATTAATACGAGAAATTTATGGAACACATGTGGCACTATATTATGGTACCACAAGATGATGTGTCACGTTATAATTAGTGTCACACATGATGTGTGATAGTTGTGGCATTAATCATAATGTGTCACATCATGTTGTGGCACCATAATATAGTGTCACATCATGTTGTGGCACCATAATATGATGTCACATCATGTTGTGGCACTATAATATGGTGTCACATGTGGTGCCATAAAATTTCTGGTATTAATACCACTTTTAATATTTAAAAAGTTGATTTTGCCCTTTACGCTAAAAAAAAAAAACAAATTCATTTTTCACTTTATACATTCTCTCTCCTGATACTGGGTTTCGAAAAATTTCGAAAAAAATTCCGACCAACTCCGGTGACGACGATAACGGCGAAAAAGGTACTTTTTTTTCGCATTTATTTCGTGGCGGCCGGCCGGTTCAGCTATGGACGGCCGCTTGTGTCGGCCGGCCACTAGTACCGGCCGGCTCTGGTCCGGAGGCTTTGACTCGGGCCGGTCGGTCCATTCTTTGGCCGGTAACGAGGACCGGCCAAAGCTGAACTGATCGGCCGGCGCGATTTTTTTAATATATATATTATATTATATATAATTATATTATATATATATATATATATTAGTTATATATTATTAATTATTAGTCATATATTATATATTATTAATATTTTAATTTATATTATTAAAAATAATAACAAAATAATAATATATATTATTAATAATATGTATTAAAAATAATATATAATAGAAATAATAATATATATTAAAAATAATAATATTTTTAATAATAATATTTTTAGAATGTATTGTTATATATATATATATATCAATAATATTAGTAATATAAATTAATAATTTATATTATATTATTAATATAAATTATTATTTTTTAATGGTTACTTTGATTATGTTCTAAAATTGGTAACATACATTGTAATATATTTAGAGGAGATAATTTTGATTATTGGCCTTATTTCAGAACAAATGAGATATTTGATAGTCTTAAAAAAGCTGTTACGTATGCAGTCGGTATGGCAACTATATGTGATTTTGAACTAATTATTTCAAAGCACAGAAAAGGAGGAACATTGAGGATTATGAGGTGTAACCGAGGGAAAAGTTATCGAGGTAATAAAATATCCAATCTTGTTAATGTTGTCATGAGACGTTCGAAAACAAAATATACCGGATGCCTGTTTGAGATGAGATTGAAAAAAGTGACTGGTACGAAAGATTCCTGGAGTATATGTTTTCTTCAGGATGATCAGAAGGGATATCATAATCATCTGATGGCTTTCTATCCCGAGGGTCATCGACAGTTCAGCGGACTGAGTGAAAAGTTGAGGCAGATCGTTCGTGACATGACGGTTTCCCAGGCAAGACCGACGGTAATATTGGCAGCGATACAGGATAAAAACCCGTCTGACAACGCGACTCGTCAACAGGTTTACAACTATAGGGCTCAACTCCGATCAGAGAGTTTCGAGGGCAGAGATGTGACTTCCCAACTTATGCATATGGCTAGCCGACCTAATTACATAGTTTTCACCGATTCTGATAAGGACACACACCTTTACACGTGTGTTCATGTCGCATCCCTAGGCAGCCCTTCTCTTTCAGACCTATCATTGGTACGTCGGTATAGATTCGACGTAAAAAATCAACAGGTATGTTACTTTATAAATAACAATTTAATACGAATCTTAATTATTATGTCTGAGTAGGTACGTTTTTTTATTATTTGTTTGTTTTTGTTGCCCTCATTTGCACATGTACAAGATGCCGTTGGTGGAAATAATAGGGATGACGCCGTACAACAAGAACTTCTTGATTGCATATGCAATTCTGAAGGACGAGAGCCAGAACAGTTATGACTGGGTTCTGAAGCGGTTGAGAGATCTGATTGGGCCTGATGTACATCCTTCAGTCATTGTCAGTGACAAGGAGTTGGGGTTGATTAATCCTATTATGATTAATTTTCCACTGTCTGCCCACCTTATTTGCACGTGGCACATCAACAAGGATGTGGAACACAAGGTCTATAAACTCTCCCAGAATAATAAAGAATTCGCCGAGAAGTTCACGCACGGCAGGTGGAAGAAGATCCTGGAAGCGAGCACGGTCGAGTACGACTCTGCCGTGAAGGACATGCAACATCGGTACAAGGCGTTCCCTCTTGTTACATAGTATATAGAGAATACATGGTTAGTCCACAAGGAAAATGTAGCGCCCCGTTCGTTTATTAGAATTTTTGGGATTTATGTGATTATTTATTTGCTTTATATTTGATTATTTTCCTTGTGTTATATTATTTGTTCATTTATTTTTTAACTGCCAGTTCTTCTCCCGTTTCATTTATCTGTTATATTGTTAAATTGTTATGTGCTTAATTGTGTCTAATTATTATGTGAATTATTTTGTTTTGTGATGATTGAGTATAAATTAGAATTATTTTAGATGTTTGGTTCTTTCGACTTATTCACGTGTATTATCCGAGCCGTTACTTAATTTTCTTGCCCAATTTCAGTTGAGTATATTCAACCCAATTGGGATCTATTTTCCAGCCCAATTTTTATTTTCCAGCCCATTTCTTTTGTGAATTAGATTTGGCCCAAATTTAGTTAAGTCCTTAAGCCATAAAGAGATTAATTTTGTGGCCCAATTCAGTCAAATAGGTGCAGCCTTATTTCTTTTTCTCACGTGCAATTTATATGAGAAGATAGGGA